GAAGAAGAAGAAGTCAACTACATTCCTGAGGACCCCATTTTCAAATCTTCAGCTCTACTGGTTGCTTCAAGGTCACTCAAGGTCCTGTAAGTTTGCTATTTTCTCTTAAACTTGTTCATATTTTTGGACACTACTAATGTCACAACCATAACATGTCAACACTGATTATAAAAAATATTAGATTAGATTATGACATAAATGTTTACTTTTTTAGAAGAGGTCTAAAGTAGCTAGCAACAGAGGGGAAACAAGATGGCTAATGTGAACAACTCATGCATATCATGTGAAAGAGTAGGATTTTGTCACCACCGTCAGACGTCACCACCGTCAGACAGAAAATCTGACAGCACAGTCTGACGGTGGTGACAAAAAACTACAAATGGTTCTCAACGGAGGCTAGAAAATAATTGTTGATCTGTAATGTTTCATTAACCTCTTTTATATTTTTATTTATGTAATTCCGCCTAGATTTATTCCATATCGTATAACCCTAGGGGATGGGGTGTGCCTTCCCTGTCTCTCAGTTCACTATTATGCCATGTTCATTTGGTTTACATCATTTGGGATGCACATAGTGCACCCACTACCTACCTACATAGCACATAGTATACAATATTCCTTGTAACCTATGGCAGGGCAACATTTAACCAAATCTAACATTTACTGTAATTCCCCCCAATTTCATAGTCATTACACTCAACTTTGACTTTATGTATTTTAGGAAGTTATGGCTAGGAAGCAGCTATCTGTGGAGGAAAGAAGGAAAAGAAACAGGGAATATCAAAAGAAGTGTAGAGAGAAAAAACATAGTGATGAAGAGTTAAAGGAGGAATACCTCAGAACAGAAAGGCAAAGATGGAAGAAGAGGGTGAAGGAAGGGAAGATAAAAAATATTAATGATTTGAATGAAAGGGAAAAGAGAAGTCAGAGAAAGGCTTGGAAACGTAAACAAAAAGTATCAAGAGAACGTAAGAGAAACGGCTCAGATCGCCCAGAAACTTCCCCAGACAGTCCAGTGGATCAGGCCATACACGAGCCAGCTCGGAGTAGACAGGCTGTAGCAGGAGAAAGGGAAAGAAAGAAAACAAGAGCAAGATACTCGAGAGAGATGAAAGCTATGAGAGAGGAACAGAATGAAAAAGCGTTGGGTACGAGAATAAGCTTGGAATAAAAAAACACAAGACTCACCAAGAAAAAAAACAGAGCAGCTGCTGCGGGGAAGCCATCTCAAAAACCCCTCCATCAAGAAAACTCTGCTATTCCACAACGCACTCATTCATGAATTGAAACAAAACAATTCTGCTCACAAGAACAAGAACCTGACTGTCAGGCAAGGTTCTGAAAAAATATCGGCTAATTCACCAGACAAGGCAATTTGGCATAACATATAACACACTGCGGAAGAGGAGGCCTACTGACAAAAAACCTACATATATTCAAGCAATTACTCAGAAGGTTCAAAATTTCTACCATAATGCAGCACGAATGACAACTGACAAACAGGACACAATCACACGCAAGAAAATAAAGCATCAGAGAATGATTCTGACTGATACACTGTTGAACCTCCACAAGGAGTTCACAAAGAAAGAACCAAGAGTGAAGCTCAGTTATTCATCCTTCTGTACCTTACGTCCATTCTATGTCACAGCACCAAGACCATCAGATCGTAAGACATGCCAATGTCAGTACCATGAGAATGCTAAGCTGATGCTAAAAGTCCTAAGAGAAAATGGTGTCGTCAAGTCTGGCAAACTGGAGGATAGTTTTGAACTTGTCTGCTGTTCACAGACAAGCGAGGCATGTCTTCTGCGCTCCTGCACCCGGTGTCTCCACAAACATACACTTCCCACACCACAGCAAGACCAGACCAATGTTGAATGGCAGCAATGGGAACGAGTTCAGGATCAAACAGCAGATAGGCTCCACTTCAACACAAGACTTGTAACACACAGTGGCACGCTGGGAGAGCTTCTTCAACAATATGAAGACAAACTGAAGACAGAAACAACAACACACGTGTGCTTAGTTCAGAACCAGACCAGAGAGTACAGGAGCATGATTGAGAACTGCAATGTTAGCACAGTAATTGTGCATGTGGACTTTTCTGAAGCGTGGAAATGCAAGTATAGTTCTGAGGTACAGTCATGCCATTTTGGTCAGAACCTCCCACAGCTCAACCTGCACACTGGCATATACTATACAAAAGAACAGAAGACAGGCTTTTGCACAGTATCAGAATCCAAGCGACAAGATGCGTCTGCCATTTGGACTCACATGGAACCAGTCCTGACTGACATTCGTTTAAAGTTTCCAAAAGTTGATACTATTCACTTTTGGTCAGATGGCCCTAGCAAGCAATACAAGAACAAGAATAACTTTTCTCTCCTCTGCAGTGTCCTTCCAACTCTAGGTTTCAAGAGAACAACCTGGAACTTCTTCCCCACCTCACATGGGAAGGGAGCCCCTGACGGCATTGGAGGAACTGTTAAAACGACAGCAGACAACCTTATACTGCGTGGGAATGACATTGTGAATGGGAATATCTTCCATGAGATGGTTGGCAAAAGCCTCTGTAGCACTAAGCTCTATGTCATTACTGAAGCTGATATGCATCCATATGATGCACTCCTTTCTCAACCACTAAAACCTGTACCTGCAACAAGGAAACTCCATCAGGTCACACCGAAATACCAAAACGACTGTGAGATCTATTGCAGATCACTGTCCTGTTTCTGCAGTGAGCCACAGATGTGCAAGTGTTTCAGCCCAACAATATTCCAGTTGACTGCCAACACACCCGGAGTACAGGTTGAAGATGATGGTCCTATACCAATGCAAAAGAGGAAAGGTCCTTTGGCAATGTTGATGGAGGAAATGGAACAGGAGGAAAGTGAGCAAGAGCCAATGGAGCTAGAACAACTGACCAAGCCGGGACCTGATGGGACTGTGACAGATCTATCTGATGATGTAGTTCATTGCGGTGATTGGCTTGCTGTCATTTATGACCAGAACTGGTGGTTAGCAAAGACTGTCACTGTGGACGCCCATCATCAATATGTGAAAGTAGAGTTTTTCCACCCTCATGGGCCCAACACACAATTCTATCCAAAAAGAGGGGGAAAGGCTATGTGCTTCATTCCATTTGACCATATTCTGGTCAAACTTGTGGAACCATCATCACCAGGTCGTGTAAGCAGGACGAGGGAGATATACAACCTGTCTGCTGAAGTCATGGACTTCATAGAGGAGAAACATATACAGCATATACTTCCTGATAAAGATACATGAGGGGTGAAGTGATGTAAAACAGTCAGGGAATACTCACAGGAGTTCACAAATTATTATTATTATTTTTGTGCCAGATGTGTTTTGTGGTATTTACACAGAATACTTTCTGTATTTTGAAACATTTCTTTTTATGGAAAAGGGACTGTAAAACATAGTTATTCATTTATCTGTTCTTCTCATCCAATATAAAATGTATAGTCTAGTTTACAGAAGAATATGATCTATATTATTTTATGAGTGGGGGGCACTACATGACAGTTTAATAGGAGGTCAGTGATGATTAATGATTTTATTGCTACAGGTAATGATTTATTTTTCACACATTATTAAGGGGTACTTTTATTAATAATTTGTTATCTGTTCTTGATATGGGGATGGGGTACTTTTAATATTGATATTTCTTAATTGTACCTTATATTCCTTAAAAAATATTTGTCACAGTGCTCATGATTGTTATTTTTTGGACTAAATAGTTAAATAAAGTTAATAAGCAAGAAACCATTGACTTGAATTGTATACAGTTTGGAATTCTATGTTGAAATGAGGCCACTGTCACCACCGTCAGTTCTAAAGTCACCACCGTCAGAGGGCTTTTTATTTGTTTTAAATGAATATGCTTGCAATATGTTTCTTCAGTGCTGTTCTCTCATTAAAGTAATAGTTTTAATACAAAAATATGTTTGTTAAATAAAAAAACATGACTTTTTCTATTTAGGCTTAAAGTAAACGTTATATGATGTTACATCTTTTAAAGGACTACAAGTGAAACAGTTAAAAAAAATTAACAAAAATGAATATTCAACATTTAACAGCATAAATGTGTGCTAACAATGCCAGATAACAATTTAAAAACTCTAAATAATTATTAGACCAAATAAATAAAAAATAATTAGCTATTTATTGTGTCTGATGGTGTTGACAAAAACAAAGTAATAACTGGAAAAATGCCTATTTTATGAAAGAAATACAAAATGAGGAGGTTGCACCTGTACACTGCTGAACAGCCAAGACCTTGGTCTATAACAATATACCTTCAGATTTTGTAATCCAACTAACTTTTTATTTTCAAAATTAAAACCTGTTTTATTCAAATTCCCAAGAATCAGTGATATGTATCTGGTCAGAAAAACACAGGTTAGCATTTAAAAAAAAAATTAATTAAAATATAATAAAATGTAATTCAACCAAGTAGAAGAACAGTTAAACTGTGTGCAATTTAATGATTGTGCTTGCATTTTGTTTTGCGTTTCTCATTTTCAGAACATCATCAATCGTAGAGAGAGAATCCACTTGCAGGCAGCATCTCCTCATCAAAGACTAACCAAAAAACTTGAGAAATATAGTTGTGAACTGAGTCAACCTTTATTTTGGCATTTTTAGTTGATTACATATTATTTATGTGTAGCTGCTGTTGTAATTATTTAATGTTTGCAGGTCTTATGTGTGTATGCAGACAAATAGTTGTCATCAAACCATCATTTGGATGCAAAGCTGTGTATAGCCTTTTTTTTTTAAAATGCTACATGTGTCATACATGTTATTTACAGCTCAGTTTTATGTTATATCACTTTATTCACTTAGTTTGATCCTTCATTAGAATTATGTGGGTTTTCATAAGCTGACAAAATTTAAAAGGATTAATGTTAGAGCAACGAGCAAGCATATGTTTTCTATGCAACTGTAATTGTCACTTGAATAAGTTATAATAAATAATGAGTTATTTAACACTAAGGAGTAGTTATTCGATTACATTTAGTTACATTTATAAGTTACATCTGGCCCTTTAAGGTCAGCCAATACGCTCCTGTGGCCCTCAGTGAAAATGAGTTTGACACCCCTGCCTAGGGTATCAAAGAGTAGTGTTCAGCAACAAGGTTGAGTAGAGTAATCTGAAAGTTAATAAGCGATAGCTGAAGGTTTTTTTTCCCTCCAAAAAAGCGGCTTGTGACATCTTTTCCTGTGTTACTGGAGACTGGTGAGTCCAGATGAAAGCTGCAACACTTGGCAGTTACTGTCCTCAGCAAGCAGCCATTTTAAAGAAGCCCCTCCCACTTCTCACAGACACAGTGTTGCCAACTCAGCGACTTTGTCGCTATATTTAGCGACTTTTCAGACCCCTCCAGCGACTCTTTTTCGAAAAAGCGACTAGCGACAAATCTGGCGACTTTTCCGGTGTCACTGGCGGCTTTTGGAGACTCTTATGTGAAAGCACGTATCGTTCATACTCTTGTCCTCCAGCGGCAGCTGCTGCCGTGGGGCGCCTCCCCCCTCCCAACCCCGTTCTCCCGCTCCCGCAGGAGTCCCTCTCAGCGCTGCAGTCAGAGCCACAGCATGTTTACCCTCAGCGTCCAGACTGCAAATGAAGCGCGCATGCGCCGGGATTGACGGCCGAAATGATCACGCGGTGCCGCTCCGCCCCTGCTTACATTCAAGGCGGGAGCGAGCGGGATGTAAATGTAAAATGTTATTTGGTCTGAAATAAATAACTGAATTTGAAATGTTTTATCTTTAATAAATAACGGCATTTGATTCACACAGCCACAGTCAGTCACCGAGTCACTGTGTCCGTTGTGTTTTCCTCTGATAAACGTCGATCTGTGAGAATCATTATGTCTCAGTCTAAACTGTACACTCAAAAATATAGAAAAGAGTGGGAATCAAACCCTGAATTCAAAGGCTGGTTGAAGCCGTTTATTGGAGATGATACACGGGCTTACTGCTTGTACTGTAAGAATGACTTCTACGCCAAACTTAGTGACATAAAAAAACACATGGCAACTCAAAAACATACTCAAAAGGCAAAGCCTTTCAGTTCAACACAAACCAAGCTGCCATTCATGATTAAACAAGCAGACTCTGCAAAGAAGGCTGAGGCCACCATGGCATTAGCTATTGCTGAGCACTGCTCCATGCTGGCATGTGATCATATTGGAGAAGCATGTAGAGCAGCATTCTCAGACTCCACTGCTGCTACCCACTTCAAAATGCACAGGACAAAGTGTACGGAGATGATAAATGGTGTTTTAGCACCTTATTTTCTAAAAAAATTAGTTACAGATGTGGGTGACCAGCGTTTTAGCCTCCTCCTCGATGAGTCCACGGATATTAGTGTTTCCAAGTATCTGGGGGTTGTCACGAGGTACTTTAGTGTCACCAAGCAGACAATGGTGTCAACGTTTCTGGGACTGGTTGAGTTGGAGGGAGGAGATGCCAGATCTATAGCCTTTGCTTTTGTGGCTTTTCTCGAGAAGTGTGGTCTCATAAAAGAGAAACTGCTGGGGATAGGAACTGACAATGCCTCTGTTATGACAGGGATTAACAATGGAGTCCATAAAGTGCTGAAGGAGGAGTATGGCCTCAAAGATTTGGTCCTCATTCGCTGTGTGTGCCACTCTCTGCAGCTTGCTGTAAGTCATGCTTCTAATGACACCATCCCCCGTAGCATAGAGTACTTAATACGAGAGACTTATAATTGGTTTTCAGTGTCTCTAAAGCGCAGGGAGGCCTACAAAGCCATTTATGAGACCATCAACTGTGGGGAGAAACCTTTACAGATCACCAAGGTGTGTGCCACACGTTGGCTCTCTATTGAACCGGCGGTTTCACGCATTTTGAACCAGTGGGAGGAGCTCAGACTGCATTTTGAAGTCACCAAGTCCAGTGAGCACTGCTACATGGCTGAGGTTTTATACTCCATGTACAATGATCCTCAAAACAGGTTGTATCTCACATTTCTGAAATCAGTGCTGGGTGAGGTACAGCTGGCCATCAAGGCTTTTGAGGGAGAGCATGTAGATCCTCTTAAGCTACTGGACAGCTTGGTTAGCCTGATCAAGTCTGTGAGCATCAGGGTGCTGAATCCACTGGCAAAAGTTGATGTACTGAAAGGGCCAATAGATGGTTATATTAGTCCCAAACCATACCTTGGTTATCTTTTTGAGTCAAAGGCAGCTGAGTTCCACCTTGCGCCTGAAGATGAAAATAATGTTCGAAAGCGGTGTGTAGCCTTCACCATCTCCCTCACTAATGAGCTGAGGATGAGACTTCCAGACAACATCGAGGCATTGCAGTACATGTCAGTTTTCAGTGTGGAGGTAACTCTAAACCACAATAAAAGCCTTGGAGAAATAGAAAATGTAACCAAGCTCCTTGGCTACTCCTCTATTGACATCGACAAAATTGTCCAGCAATGGCGTGTCATCCATCTCAGTAAATGGAACGAGACAAAAAACACACTTGGATTCTGGAGTGAGGTTTGGAAGTTCCGCGATGCAACTGGTATGAACCCGTTTCAAGAACTTGCCATGGCTGCTGTGTCTGCATTGTCCTTGCCACACTCAAATGCTGATGTTGAAAGGGTGTTCAGTCAAATGAGTGTGGTAAAAAGCAAACTTAGAAATCGGATGTCTTTGCAGACACTTAACTCCATCCTGAACATCCAATATGGACTGAAGCTGTCTGGTGAGGCTTGTTATGAGCACCAGCTGCCTGAGCATGTTTTGCAGCTATTTGGCACATCAGCTGCTTACTCCTTTAAGTCAGCTCCCTCAGTTGCTGAGCCTGCCATAGAGAGCCTTGACCAACAGGACGATGACCCACTCTTTCTGTGAGTTGGCAAGCACTGCCTGTGTGTGGAGAAAAGTCTTATTAGTTTAAAAAAAAAGTACTATTATTTGCTCATTGATTCTTTGTTGTCTTTTTTGTTGCATTTAGATTGCTAATGTTAATGTTATGGTTCCAAATGTTCATGTTTTACCATGATTTGTAGGCTCCTAGTGGACCACAAGGGAAAAAAACAACAAAAAGTTATAAAAAAAAGCACAAAAAAAAAAAAGTAAAAAAAAAAAAAATTGTAACTCCGCCATAGTGTCTCTCTATGTTTCACTTTGCCGGTCCCAAGCCCAGGTAAAGGAGGAGGGTTAGTATAGTAATAAAATACATATTAATTTAAATAAATAAATAAACAAACAAACAAACATTAATGGACAGAAAAAAAGTAGCTCTATATATCCTGAGAGTTTTCACTCACTTTTTGTCTTTCTCTAACAACGTTATCTCTCCCACAGCACCAAAACCATGCACATCCTTCTTCTTCTTCTTCTATTGTTTTATGGCGGTTGGCAAACAATTTTTGGTGCATTACCGCCACCAACTGAAATGGAGTGTGAATCGGGATGACCTACTCTAATATCCTACTACTATAAATAATAAAAATAAATAAATAAATAACTAAATCCGTTTTATCAAATTAGTCTTTTTAAGATATCTTAATAATAAAGAATAACCCTCTGATTTGGTGTTCATATCTAAAAGATATTTTATGTTTAACTTTAATTTACTGTTTTGTAATCTATTTACCAATTCATTTCTCTCAATATGATATTTACTACAAAATAATATAACGTGCTCCACTGTTTCTTCAACAACACAAAAATCACACTTTCCTGTATCATGAATCCCCATTTTAAATAATGTGCTATTTAACCCTGTATACCGTGCACATCACGTCACGTGGCAGATTATGCAAATTAGGCGATGACGTCATTTGGCGACTTCTAGCGACTTTTAGCAGAGCCAATAGCTACTTTCCTTACTGAGGAGTTGGCAACACTGCACAGACACTCAGTCTCACAGGAGCCTGGTGCAGCAAAGCCACCTGCAGCCAGAGAGAGGAGAGCCACTCCACTCTGAGTCCACTTTGCAATTGAACCACCCATGCACAAAAGTCCTACCGATCTACTGTGGATGAATACAGTTTTAATGCAACTTTTAGATCCACTTTCCTTACTGAGGAGTTGGTAGCAGTGGTGTGTGTGAGTGTGTGTGTCAGTTGGAACAGCTCTCTCCGTCAGTTATTCTGCTATGAAGAGTCAGTAAGTCTGGACGAAAGATGG